ATAACAGTAGCAAACAACAGTTAAGATGTAGCAAAGAAGATAATTTTATGGTTGGGGGGGTCACAACAACATGAGGAACTGTATTAAAGCGTTGCAGCATCAGGGAGGTTGAGAATCACTACTTTAGGACATAATGGCATCTAATTTATTCCTTTGCACAGCAGGGAACCAAGTAATGTTGAAAATAAACTAATAAAAGAATGAATAAAAACTCAGTTAGATTCAAGGGTATTCCTCAGTCCCTGTCCCTATCCTGAACTTGAACAAGTACTCTATGCTCAGGCCCAGGATTCCCTTTCCAATTCTAAGAACTCAAAGGCTTTTCTTCCCTTCTAGCACTCTGGGCTATAGTGCTGTGATCAAGCAATATGATAGCTGAAAAACAGTAATTGTGAGCTCTAAGCTACAGCTCTGTTGTTGCGGGACTCCTGCTCCAGTATATTTGCTGAGATTAACTTCTCTGAGGGAAATGCCATGCTCCTGATTTGGGGATAGGGTATGCTCTTAGGAAGGTAAGATGGGAGTTAGCACAGCACAGGTTTGTCAGTGAAGCCAGTGAAAGAGAGGAGCGGGAGGTAAGACTGAAGACCATGTCTGAGGCAGTCTCTGTGGAGGACTCCATTGGATCTCCTCTTCTGTCAGTTAATTCGGGAAAAGCACAACACAGGGATGACATCTGGCCAGAGGCAACAGGAATCTCTTCAATTTTCTCAGAGCAAACTGATGCCTGGCTCTCTGTGTAGACATTCAAAGACATGGAAGCCCTAAGTTTTCTCTTCCAAAAGACAAGTAGTAGGCTAATGTGACTCACAAGCATTTTTCCTCTCCAGTAACACGGCACAGCTACCATTTTTCCTGCAAGACTCCTTAGCTGATTTCTCTTCTTCCCATCAGGACAGATGACAACTCTCATTGTCCCTTTATTACTTACTATCTTATTTCCAGAGCTGGGCACACTGCCTGGCACCCAGTAGGGATGCAATAATGCCTGAAGAATAAATGCACAATTAAACACTTAACATCAGCATAAAAGCACAGATCAAATCACACACAATTAAAGACAAACTGTCCCCAGATGAGTTTAATGTGGCTTTGAAAGGAGGAACAAACAAAAATGACAGTGGAATTTGAAAAAAGCAGCAGATAGGAGCCAAGGAGCAAACCTGTTCTGAGTTTGGTCTTGAGCAGAACCCTGTACCCACGCAAGCTTATTCAGGAAGTAGAAAGATGGATCCTGGCAGGCTGAGAAATAGAGGAAGAAGAGACACACTTGTCTTCTGTTTTCCTAGCTCTGTCAAATGATCTCTTCCTTAGAGTCATTACTGACACACATAAAGATATTTTCATCTTGATAAAGGAACATCTCAGAGGTTACTATGTGATCCTCATGCTTTGGCAAGTATTTTATTCAATTAGCAGAGAACTATGAAGCCCCCGGAAGGAGCAGGTAATGAAGAGAGTAGAGAAGGAATTTACTCTCTGTCATGAGAGGAAAGAGAAACAAATAGGGTTATCCAAAGATTAATGAGAATACTGTGATCTAAGCTCATGAGTGCTATTTCCGCCTCCAAACAACAAAGAGGCAGAGAGATTTTAAACAGAGAAGGCAAAGTAGAACTCAAAAAGGAAGAGAACTGAACAATTAAGAAAAAACAGCAGCCTAATTACCAAATTTCTCTCCCATTGAATTTGGCCAAGGTATGGAAGAACTTTAAAAACCAGAGGTCATGAAGACCTCTGGGCAGCTATTATTAAGCTAGTCTAAAATCCGTGTTAATGTGATATTTCTTTCATGTATGTACATTCAAATACACATAGCAGGCTCATATGCCTTGAAGTAATGACGATGGCTCAAATAACATTTAAGAAGGGGATCTGAGGAAATAGTTCAGTGGGTAAGAGTACCTGCTCTATAAGAAGAGGACTTACATTTGAATCCTGAGCATCCACTTTAAAAGCCAGGCACAAATGCACATATTCTAGCACTGCTAGGCAGAGAGACAGTGGTGTGGGCTCACTGGCCACAATCCTAACAGAAAAACCAGGTTTCAGGTTCAAAGAGGACCCCTTTTCAAGGCAATAAGGAAGAAAATGATAGAAAATGCCTGATGTCCTGCTGTGAACTCCATGTGTACATGCATAGGTGTGTCTGTCTACACACACATGTGTATGTACCTATTACACATTCATGAATGTAATAAAAAACTAACCAGACTAGAAGAGAGATGTTACAAATCGAGCCTTACATACGTGTTTAAAATAATAGTGCATAGTACTAATAACAGCAAAAGCAATAGAGCGCTTCAAACATTCCAAAATCAATAGTCTTTTCTTCTGCCTCCTAGGGTTTCTCAGCAGTCAAGGAATTCTTTGTAGAAGAGAAAGAAGAAAAAGAAGGAGGAGGAGGAGGAGGAGGAGGAGGAGGAGGAGGAGGAGGAGGAGAAGGAGGAGGAGGAGGAGGAGGAGGAAGAGGAGGAAGAGGAGGAGGAGAAGGAGGAAAAGGAGGAGGAGGAGAAGGAGGAGAAGGAGGAGGAGGAGAAGGAGGAAGAGGAAGAGGAGAAGGAGGAAAAGGAGAAGGAGGAGAAGGAGAAGGAGTAGAAGCAGCAGCAGCACCATGGTAAATACACATCTTTCCATAAGTATATCAACACTTGGGAACCAGAATAGGAGGATAGAGTGGGGAGGAGAAAGGGGGACAAGGGAGAAAATACAAGAAGATACAGTAAAAATTGAAGGCCATTTGAAGCGTAGTATGGGAACCCAGAACAGAAGCAGCATCTTAAAATACATGAAGCCAAAGAATGGGAAAGACAGGGCCCTAATTGGCCATATCTTCTCAACAAATAAAGCTTCCACTACTGGGAATGGGTTACATCTAACTGTGCTGTTGGCAAAAGGGGTCCCATGGGAACCCCACACAAAGCAGGCTATTGTCAAGACTATAGGTTTCTCTTTCCAAACTAATAGCTAGACCCTACTAAACACTTACATATTGAGCTGCTGCCAACATAGAGCCTTCACCCCAATGAACTAATGTCTTTGGTACATGAAAGTACTTTGCAAACTACCCAATGAAAAATGTAAACACCAGCCCAGCCACAAACCCTTTGATCTACAACGCTGTCCTGCCTTCAAATAATGTTAGTGCCATGGTGGCACAAAGCTCATGGGGATAACCAATCTAACCTATATCTGGTTTGACTTATGGTTCATTCCAGAAGACGGAACCCGTAACTGATGCTGCTTGGGTGACCAAGAACCTGAGGCTAGACAGCCCAGAGACTGAGGGTAAAATCAAATACTATTGTGCTACTAAAAGAACATAACAAAATGACTCCTGGGGGCATTCCGTTCTACTGACAGATCAGTACCTTTCTCTGCTACCATCAGAGAAACTTTCTCCTGCAGCAGCTGGGGAAAAATTGAGACTCAAATATGAGGCCTTGAAACACTCAGGCCTAATTGGGGTATGTCCATCAAATCCCAGTTCTTAGAGAACCCTGCAGAAGAGGAGGGAGAAAGAATGTAAGAGCCGGAGAGGAGGGAGGGAGGACACCAATGACACAAGGCCTGTGAATCAACAGGATGGACTCATATATGAATTCACAGAGACTATGGCAGCATGGCCACAAGCCTGCACAGGGTCTGCAACTGAGCAGTCCTTGAGCTGAAAGGAGAAGTAGACACCTGCCCTATCCCATCCCATCCTTAACCCAGCCAATCTCTCCAACTTATAAACACTTGCAACTGAAGGTTGTTTTCTCCAAGGGAATCTCATGGGGAAGCAAACTGCTCTTAAGTGTAGGCCTCATGCCCAGCACGAGATAGCCAACAGAAAACAAACTCAATGGAGGTTTCTTTTCGTATAATGTTGTAACAGGGCTGTTACTTATTTGTTTGCTTATATTTATATTTTATTATTTTATTTATTATGGCTTCCAGTTTTGTGTTTATATGAAATTCCTGAGTGTGTGAACAACTGGGTCTCAGCACCTCTGTTTCTGGAGCCTCTTCTTATCTTCTTTTCATTCTGTATGTTTGTATTGCCCTATTCAAAGGTGTTAGATTTTGCTATATCTTCTTGTGTTATATATTTTAGTATATTATTACTGCTTAGAAGCCAGTTTGCATCCTAATAGAGATGGTACAGGGGTGGATCTGGATGAAAGGGAAGGTAGAAAGGAATTGGTAGGAGCAGAAGGAGGGGAAACTACAATCACAATCACAAAAAATAAAAATCATAATTTTTCAATAAAAGGCAAAAATAAAATTTAAATATAGAGAAAAAAAGAGCATCAGCATTTGATCATCTGCATAAAATATATATAAATAACTATTTGCTGGCTATGAAGTCTCCTATACTTGGTTTTGCGATGGACATGCATCTAATCCCTTCAATCCCTAAAGAAATGCAATAGCTCGCATCCAGAGTATCACTCAGTGTTCATACAAGGCCGTAAATTCAATCCTGAGGTCCACATGAAAAGCAAATAAACAAACACTGCCTGAGAGATGGCTCAATGAGTTAAACTGCTTGACTAGCAAGCCTGGCCATCTGAGTTCAACCCCTGCCATTAAAAGTGGGAGAACTGAGCCGGGCGGTGGTGGGGCACGCCTTTAATCCCAGCACTCGGGAGGCAGAGGCAGGCGGATCTCTGTGAGTTCGAGGCCGGGCTGGACCGATAGCCTCCTAAACAATACAGAGAAACCCTGTCTCGTAAAAACCAAAAAAAAAAAAAAAAAAAAAAAAGTGGGAGTACTGATCTCAAAATTTGTACAAACTCCACATGTATACTGTGGTATGTGCATCTGTGTACATACAGACACACACACATACTCACACAGAGAGAGAGAGACAGAGAGAGAGAGAGAGACAGACAGACAGACAGACAGAAAGAAAGAAAGAAAGAAAGAAAGAAAGAAAGAAAGAAAGAAAGAAAGAAAGAAAGAAAGAAAAAGTAAAATGCCTTTAAAAATCAGCATGGTTGATCAGTTCCTACCTTTGAACTTATGGAACACGGCCCAGAGCTCTGCAATGTCAGTTGCAAAGGTAATGTCAGTATCTAGGACAATCACTCTCTCCAGGTTGGCAGGTAGAGTCTTGGTCAGAACCAACTTCATCAGGCCGTAAATCCCAGAGTAGTGTTTGTTGGGGATCCAGGACACTTCAGACTAGACAGGACAGAATAGAGAGAAGGACAGAGGAAGGGAGGGGGAGGGAGGGAGGGAGGGAGGGAGGGAGGGGGGGGAGGGAGGGAGGGAGATGGAAAGAAGGGAGTTGGTAAAACAAGAAAAAGAAAATAAATCACCACATGGATTCATTGCTTAAACATTATAAACCATGCTGAGACACAAATAAAAAACAATTTTACAAACGTGTTAAATGAATAAATGGATTTTCTTTAAAGAATTATTCATTTCACTTTGCCACATCAAGTTTTTCTGAGAATAAAAAAATGTATTTGATTCAATACAGACATAAAATTCTAGTTGTGAAATAATATTAAATGCAAATTCTATGTTGAGATTTTGAAAATACTTTTTTATTATTAGAGAAATTATGTGTCCACTGAAGAAAATAAGTATGTGAAATTAAAACAACAAAAACAAAACAAAACGTAGCACCTCATTATTCCTAAGTAGAATTATTTTTTGAGATTACATTTTTTTATTTAAATTAGAAACAAGGTTGCTTCACATGTCAATCCCAGCTCCCTCTCCCTCCCTCCCTCCCACACCCTCCTACCATCCACACAGCCCCCCACCCAATTCCCACTCCATTCCCCAGGGACAGTGAGACCCTCCATGGGCTATATCCATAGTCTGTCATTTAGTTCAGGGCAGAACCTGGGACATCCCTAAGGGTCCGGGCTGAGAGAGCATCCCTCACTGTGGGATGGGCACCCAAAGTTCATTTGTATGCCAAGGATACATACTGATCTACTACTCAAAACAACATAGATTGCCTAGGCCTCTGGATAGAAACCCACATTCAGGGGATTCCAAGAGTTCAGTTCAGGGTTTAGCTGTGGATATCTGCTTCAGCTTCCATCAGTCGCTGGATAAAGGTTCTGTTTCCCAGACTCTGACAGTGGGATTGTATGCTGGCACTCCCCTGATTCATGTCTAAAATCCATATATGAATGAGTGCATTCCATGTTTGTCTTTTTGTGACTGGGTTATATCACTCGGGATGGTTTCTTCCAGTGCCATCCATTTACCTGCAAATTTCAAGATTCCATTGTCCGCCTCCCCCCCTCCCCCCCACTGAGTAGTACTACATTGTGTATATGTACTACATTTTCTCTACCCACTCTTCAGTTGAGGGGCATCTGGGTTTACTCCAGGTTCCGGCTATTACAAATAATGCTGCTGTGAACATAGTGGAACAGATGTCCTTGTTGTATGAATGTGCATCTTTTGGGTATTTGCCTAAGAGTGGAATTGCTGGATCTTGTGATAGACTGATTACCATTTTCCTGAGCAATCTCCATACTGATTTCCAAAGTGGCTGTACAAGATGTCACTCCCACCAGAAGTGGAGGAGTGTTCCCCTTTCTCCATATCCTCTCCAGCATAAATTGTCATTGGTGTTTTTATTTTAGCCATTCTGACAGGAGTAAGATGGTATCTCAGAGTTGTTTTGATTTGCATTTCCCTGATGGCTAAGGATGTTGAGCACTTTCTCAAGTACCTCTCAACCATTTTAGACTTCTCTATTGAGAATTCTCTATTTAGTTCTGTAGCCCACATTTCAATTGGATCCTTTGGTGATTTGGAGACTTGTTTCTTGAGTTCTTTGTAAATTTTGCATATCAGCCCTCTGTCAGATGTAGGGTTGGTGAATATCTTTTCCCATTCTGTGGACTGCCTTTTTGTCTTGTTGATTGTGCCCTTTGCCTTACAGAAGTTTCTCAGTTTTAGGAGGCTCCATTTTTTATTGTCCATCTCAGTGTCTGTGCTATGGGTGTTTTGTTCAGGAAACAGGCTCCTATACCAATTCGTTCACAGGTATCTCCCACTTTCTCTTCTAAGAGGTTCAGGGTGGCTGGATTAATGTTGAGGTCTTAGATACATTTAGACTTAAGTTTTGTGCATGGTGATAGACATGGGTCTATTTGCAGTCTTCTACATGCCAGCATCTAGTTCAGCCAGCACCAATTGTTGAAGATGCTTTTTTTTTTCCATTGTATAATTTTAGCTTCTTTGTCGAAGATCAGGTATTCAAATGTGTATGAGTTAATGTTGGGGTGTTCAATTCGATTCCTTTGGTCTATCTGACTATTTTTGTGCCAATACCAAGCTGTTTTCAGGACTACAGCTCTGTAACACAGCTTGTAGTCAGGGATAGTGATGCCTCCGGATGTTGCCTTGTTGAGCAGTGTTGTTTTGGCTATCCTGGATCTTTTGTTTTTCCATATAAAGTTGATTATTGTTCTTTCAAGGTCTGTGAATAACTGTGCTGGAATTTTAATGGGGACTGAGTTAAATCTGTATATTACTTTTGTTAGACTGCCATTTTTCTTATGTTGATCCTACCTATCTATGATCATCGTGTCTTCTTTAATTTCTTTCTTTAAAAGATATAGGTCTTTCACTTGTTTGGTTAGCATTACCCCAAGGTATTTTATGTTGTTTGTGGCTATATAGTAGGACTACTAATTTTCTTGAGTTGCTCTTGTACCGTGCCACTTTGCTGAAGGTATTTGTCAGCTGCAGAAGTACCCTGGTAGAGCTTTTTGGGTCACTTATATAAACTATCATCTGCAAACAGTAAAAGTTTGACCTCTTCCTTTCTGATTTGCCTGTATTTCCTTGAGTATTTTTACATCAATGTTCATGTGGGAAATTGGTCTGAAGTTCTTTCTTAGTTGAGTTTTTTTGTGGCTTGTGTATCAAGGTTATTGAAGCCTCATAGAAAGAGTTTGGCAAAGACCCTTCTACTCCTGTTGCATGGAATACTTTGAGAAGAATTGGTATAAGCTGTTCTTTGAATATCTGGTAGAATTCTGCACTGAGGCCATATGACACTTTTTTTTTGGTTGGGAGACTTTTGATGACTGCTTCTATTTCCATAGGGGTTATAGGTCTATTTAAATTACTTATCTTTCTTGATTTAATTTTGGCAAGTGATATGTATCCAGAAAATTGTCCATTTCCTTTAGATTTTCTTATTTTGTAGAGTACAGGTTTTCAAAGTATGACTTGGTGATTCTCTGGATTTTCTCAATGCCTGTTATTATGTCCTCCTTTTCATTTCTGATTTTGTTGATTTGCATATTCACACTCTGCCATTTGGTAAGATTAGGTAAAGGTTAGTCTTTCTTTTTGATTTTCTCAAAGAACCAACTCTTTGTTACTTTGATTCTTTGTATTGTTTTCCTAGTTTCTACTTTATTGATTTTAGTCCTCAATTTGATTATTTCCTGACATCTACTCCTCCTGGGTGATTTTGCTTCTTTGTTTTCTAGAGCTTTCAGTTGTGCTGTTAATTCTCTAGTGTAACTATTCTCCAATTTCTTCATGTGGGCACTTAGTGATATGAACTTCCCTCATAGCACTGCTGACAAAATATCCCATAAGTTTGGATATGTTGTGTCTTCATTCTCATTAAATTCTAGGAAGTCTTTAATTTCTTTGTTTTATTTCTTCTTTGACCCAGGAATGGTGTAATTGTGCATTATTGAGTTTGTAGGGTTTCTGCAATTTGTATTGTTGTTGAATTCTAATTGTAACGCATGGTGGTCTGATAAACTGCATGGAGTTATTCCAGTTGTTTTGTACCTGTTGAGGTTTGCTATGTTTCCAAGTATGTGGTCGATTTTTGAGAGGTTCAATGTGGCCATGACAAGAAGTTATGTTCTTTTTTATTTGAATGGAATGTTATATAGATGTCTACTAATCACAATTGAGTCATAACTTCTATTAGTTCCTTTGCTTCTTTGTTAAGTTTCTGACTGGTATTCCTGTCTAGTGGTGAGAGTGGGTGTTGAAGTCTCCCACTATAGGTGTGTGGGGCTTTATATGTGATTTGAGTTTTAGTAATGTTTCTCTTATTAATGTCAATGCCTTTGTATTTGGGGCATAGATGTTTGGAATTGAAACTTCATCTTGGTGGATTTCTTCTGTGATGAGTATGAAATGACATCCTTCATCTCTTTTGAGTGATTTTAGTTAAAGTCTAATTTGTTAGATATTAAGATCACTACCCCTGCTTGTTTCTTAGGTTCATTTGATTGGAAAATCTTTTCCCAAGCCTTAACTCTGAGGTAATGTCTGTCTTTGAGGATGAGGTGTGTTTCCTGTATGCAGCTGAAGGATGGATTCTGTCTTTGTGTTAGCCTGTGTCTTTTTATGGGTGAGTTAAGGTCATTAATATTGAGGGATATAAATGACCATTGATTGGTCATTCTTGATTGTTTTGGAACTGTTGTTGTTGTTGGAATTGTATGTGGATTTCCACTCCTGTTTTCTTTTGACTGTTGCCTATGTTTTTCTGGTTGTAGTTAACTTCCTTGGGTTGGAGTTTTCTTTCCAGAACTTTCTGTAGGGATGGGTTAGTGGATATGTATTGTTGAAATTTGGTTTTGTCATGGAATATCATGTTTTCTCCATCTATAATGATTGAAAGCTGGGTATAGTAGTCTTAGCTGGCATCTTAGTGTTGGTAGAGTATCTATCGAGGACCTTCTGGCTTTCAGAGTTTCCATGGAGAAGTCAGGTGTATTTCTGATAGGTTTGTCTTGACCTTTTTCCTTAGCTGCTCTTAATATTCTTTCTTTATTTTGCATGTTTGGGGTCTTGATAATTATGTGGTAAGTTTTGTTTATGTTTTTGTTTTTGTGGTCCTCTCTATTTGGTGTTCTGTAAGCTTCTTGTACCTTCATTGGTATGTCTCTTTAGGTTGGGAAAGTTTTCGTCTATGATTTTGTTGAATATGCTTTCTGCCCCTTTGAGGTGGTTTTCTTCAATACCTAGGTTTGGTCTTTTCACTGTATCCTATATTTCCTGGATATTTTGTGTTAGGGAATTGTGGGACTTAAGATTTTCTTTGGTTGATGAATCTCATTCTCCTAGTGTATCTTCAACGCCTGAGATTCTCTCTTCCCTCTTTTGTATGGTTATATTTGCATCTGCAGTACCTGGCCATTAGGCAAGCTTTTGTGTTTCTA